GTGGGGGGCTCTATTGATTACATAGTGAAAATGCTTTAATTCTTTGAAAATCTTCTCTGTTCCTGGGTATTAAAAAAACTAACTAAATACATTGGTACGATGAGCAAGAGTGCTTCTTTCAAAATATTCAATGTTATGGCCCCAGGATCAGGGGTTCTGGTGTTAGGGCGGGGCTCTATTGATTATATAATGAAAATGCATTAATTCTTTGAAAATCTTCTTCTCTGCTCCTGGGCATCAAATAAACTAAGTACATTGTTATGATGACCAAGAGTGCCTATTTCAAAATTTTGAATTTTGTGGCTCCAGGGTCAGGGGTTCTCAGGTGTTAAGGCTGGGCTCTATTGGTTATATTGTGAAAATGCATTTATTATTTTAAAATCTTCTCTGCTTCTGGGTATTAAATAAACAAATTACATAGTTGTGATGAGCAAGAATGGCACCTCAACCAAAGAAGATGGGCGCATTTGGCGTGTGATCTGCAGGAATCATTTGTACGAAACATTTATAGTTTAAATGTCCATGATTTGGTTGGCTGAACATAGCTGGTCAGATTTTACAAACACTTCCATAGGGTTTTTTTTTCATTTAGTTTGAAAGACTTTGTGAGATTGTAACATTTATGTCCATTTTTCCAAGGGGTTACTAAAATACTATAGCATAGTAATTTTTTACAAAAAATAAACGCCTAAATATTTAATGCATAGATGCATGATACATGTACATGTACATTATAGAATAGAAGATTGGGATTGATTTCGCTCGAGAACCAAACTGAACCAAAATTTATCTAATTCAAAATTTTAATACATCAGTACATAAAACAAACTGACAAAATAAATGGTTGTTTGCATAAAAAAAAATAATGCCCCATGCAAGACTCGAACCAAAAACTTTTCGCTTCGTGTGCACTGAACAGGTATCCCATCTTACTGAGCTATCAGTATTCAATTACGCCCAGATTCCTGCCGAATGCCAATCAAAAGCGCCCTCGTTCTTTGTGGCTGTTTGTGTCCCCTGCCATTTACTTTATGGGGGGGGGGGGGCTCTTTTGATTATATAGTGATAATACATTAATTCTTTGAAAATCTTTTCCTTTCCTCCAGGGTATTAAATTATGTCAATTATCTAAATTTATATATATTTATCTGTTTATGATGAAAAAAGGTGCATCTAGCAATACGGTGAATTTTATGCCCCCTGGGTCAGGGGTAGGGGGGTTACTCAGTCTGAAAATAAATTAATTCTTCTTTTTGGTATTAATCAACCATTTATGATGAAATAAAATTTATGATAAAATTTCCAAAATTTTGAAATAAATGGCCCCAGGGTTAGTGGTTCCTTTGGGGTGAGGTGCATAACTGGTTATAAAGTGGAAGTGCTTTTTTTCTTTGTTACTCTAATCTACTTCTGGGTATTAAGTAACTAGTAGAGTAAGGATGCTAAGTGTATAATTATGATAAGCAATACTGCCTCTTTCAAAATTATGAATTTCATGGCCTCTGGTTTAAAACACGAAAAAAATTCAATTGTCAAAAGTTGTTACATGATCCTCAGGTGAGCCCGTGGGCCTCTTGTTATTTGATACAACAAATATCTGAGAAAGGAGGGGCTAAAATCTCTCTCTCTCTCTCTCTCTCTCTCTCTCTCTCTCTCTCATACACACATATGTTCAGTAAAAACTATGACAGCATATTACTTATTTAACTCTGAAAATGTAATCTATTAAAAAAAATTAAATTAATATGAATGCCTATTTTCCTCATCTTGAAATGTCGAGTATAATCACGGCCGGGAAATGTCTTCAGATACATGTAGAAGTTTGCTAAAAAGATCATTATAAAAAACAGAGAGAAAATGCATTCCACTTTATAACCAGTTGTGCACCCTGCCCTACAGGAACCACTGACCCTGGGGCCACATATTTTAAAATTTTTGGAAATTTTATCAAAATTTCAATTCATCAGAAATTGGTGATTAATATCAAAGTGCAGATTTAAAAGTATTACTTTATTTTGCAGACTATGTACGGGGTGTACCCCTCGTCCGCGGTACCCCTAAAGCAGGGGCCCTGAAATTAAACATTTTGGAAGAGGCACCCTTCTCCCTCATAAATATATACTTAGATCACTGTCATTATACCAAGGAGCAAAGAAAAAAATTTCCAAAGAATTCATGCGTTTTCACAATATAATCATTATAGAGCCCCATCCTAACATCAGAACCCCTGATCCAGGGGTAATGAAATTCACAAACTGGGAAGATTAGCATCCTTCCTCATCATAACTATGAATATACTATGAATATAGTTCACTGGTTTTATACCCAGGAGCACAAGAGAATATTTTTAAAGAATTAACGCATTTTCACTGTATAATCTACAGAGCCCTGTCCTAACACCAGAACCCCTGACCCTGGGGCCATGAAATATACAAAATTGGAATAGGCAGCCTTATTTAATATAACAATGTATTTGGTTAGTTTATTTCATACCCAGGAGCAGAGAAGAAGATTTTAAAACAATTAATGTATTGTCACTATATAAACAATATACAGAGCCCTGTCCTAACACCAGAACCCCTCACCCATGGGCTATGAAATTCACAATTTTGGAAGAGCCATTCACGGTCATCATAACTATGCATTTAGTTTGTTTGTTTAATACCCAGGAGCAGAGAAGAATATTTTCAAAGAATTAATGCAGTTTCACTATATAACATATAGAGCCCCGCCCTGACACCAGAACCCCTGACCCTGGGGCCATGAAATTCATAATTTTGGAAGAGGAAAGAAGCTTCCTTCTTTATCATAACTATGTAAATAGTTCGTTGGTTAAATGTCAAAGAGCAGAGGAGACGATTTTTAAAGAATATATGCATTTTCATTTTTTCACTATATAATCTGTGAATAGAGCCCCGCCCTAACACCAGAAACCTGACCCTGGAAACATGAAATTCACAATTTTGGAAGAGGCAACCTTATTCAATATAACTATGTACTTGGTTAGCTCATTTAATGCTCAGGATTAGAGAAGAAGATTTTCAAAGAAATAATGCATTTTCACTATGTAGTCTATTTAGCCCCGCCCTAGCACTAGCACCCCTGACCATGTGGCCATAAATTTCACAATTTTGGTAAAAGACTCACGGCTGATTACAATCTTGCCAACAGTTTGACTGCTTGGCGACAAGCAGTAAAGAAGAAGATTTTTAAAGGATTGCACTAATTTTAGTGGTTTTGGCCCCACCCAGGGGGGCAGGGACCATGAAATTCCAAGTTTTTGTTCCTCTTCACCCTTAGATGCTTTGTGCCAAAATTGGTTGAAATTGGTTGAGCGGTTGCAGAGGAGAATCTGAAAATGTTAATGATAACGCACGGCGCACGACGCACGACGACGGACAACAACAGATAGCAGTAGGTCACCTGAGTTTACTCAGGTGACCTAATGAAACATAATAATATAATATTTTTGCATTAAAAATTTAAAATACCAGTGTATTTATACAACAATTAGCAGACCTTTGTAATTTTTTTTTTTCATTTTTAACATGGAATCGCATTTTGCCGTTGTTATATCCGTGGTAATTACTGTATACAGGGTTATTTTCGCCCCGTCTTATTTTTGCCCTTTCACATTTTCAATCAATTTTGCCCCGTTTTAAATTCGCCCAGTCATAGTTTTGTTTAAGAAATTATACTGTATTTTTTTTAATTTGCCCAGTTTTAAATTCGCCCAAATGATAGAAGGGCGAAAGGGGCGAAAATTTCCCTCTATACAGTAATTCATTCTGTAAGTTTTAGCTTTCTCTTCTAAAATCCACATTATTTTATCAGTTAAAAGAGCATATTTATTTTATCAGTAGGTTAATTCTATTTGTTATACATGTACTACACATATTTGGTAACAATTACACATGTTTTACGGCAATATACATTGTGTTATGAAAATGCTGTAAGATACTTAAATTATTCATATAACTCAATGTAAAATTTATATATTTATCCTAATTATTAATTTTTATTAATTAATATATATTTATCAATTTATTGTTATTTTAATACCTGATAGAATAGAATATTTCAATGCAAGGAAAAGATCGGAGGCATTCCGAATAAATCGTCCATCTTGCGTTCAGCGTTCATTTTCCGTTCACTTTGCGCTCGCGTTTGCGCTCCGTTCGCTCTCTGCGTTCACTAACCCTTCACACATCGTTCATCATGTTGAGTTCAGCATTTGCACATCGTTCACTCATCGTTCGCTCTGCGTTCGTTCATTTTCGTTCACCGTTCGTTTAGCGTTCGTTCACCGTTCAGGTGGGAAAGTAAAACGTTTCAGGGACTATGCAACGTAATTAATTCATTCTATAAGTAGTAGTTTGCTCTTCTGAAGTCCATATTACTTTATTAGTTTTGAAAATAAGCGCATATTGATTTTATTAGTAAATTAATTTTTTTTCTTTTATCTTACAGTGTACACGTGTTCGATAATAATTGCACATGTTTTACGGCAAAAAAATGGTCTTGTTAAAATATTGATTTATAACTTCATAAGTATGTGCAGAAAAAATTGTTTTAATTGTTTATTTTTATACCTAATTTAATATTATTAATTCATATTTTAGCACTTAACATTAGAATACAACAGGATAGTTTCAATTCAAGGAAAAGATCGGAGGCATTCTGAATAAATAAATTCATCTTGCGTTCACCGTTCGTTCACCATTCTTTTTGCACCCGCGTTTGCGCACCTTTCGCGTTCTGCGTTCACTCACCGTTCTCCGTTCACACATCGTTCACCAAGTTGCGTTCAGCGTTCACACATCGTTCACTCACCATTCCCTATGCGTTCGTTCACCCTTCGTTCAGCGTTCGTTCACCGTTCAGGTGAGAAAGTAAAACGTTTCAGGGACTGTACTTCATGATCTATTTTAGATTTTAAATCTTATAAAGTGTTAACAGATTTAATAGACATTATAATTTTACCTCTTGATTCTGCCTAGAATGTACTGCGGGATTTTATGGAAAGAATTGCGGCCAGAGATGCAGCGAGAATTGCTTTGTTACAAATAGATGTGACCGGTTTACAGGGGAGTGTAAGGAGAAATGTAAACCAGGCTGGCAGACATTAAGATGTACACAGAGTAAGTAAGGGGACAGTGCATGGATCATACTTCGAATCATATATATATGCCTGGCCCCAAGGCCATAAACTGAGATCAGACTAAAGTCAATATTTAAAATCGATATTTTTCTAAAAAAAAGTTTTGATGATAAAATAAAATTTTCATCATTGTAATGATGTATTATGCACAATTACATTTTTTAAGATAAAATGTTAAATGAAAATTGAGATATTGAAAATCAAACTTTGACCTAAGTATGTTCTCAATTTATGATCTCAGGTCTTTACGTGTGTTAAGGGATAATTCATTGTCAAGAACACTTTTCATATGTTTCCTCTGATAACAAGAGTATTACCTGAAAAGTATATGTTAAATACTCAGCATTGTCCAATACTTACTAAAATGCCATTTTGTTATTTGAGCAGTTCAGTTGTTTACATAGTCAAAAATGTAAATTTCTTAAAATTTTATTCTCTTTACGTGTCTAAAAAAGGAAGAAAAAAACCCAAAAAGGGTTAAATACTCTAATCCAACATAAAAGAAAATAGCAAATTCGAGTATGTAAATGGTTGGAAATAATAACATAAAACTTGCTTGCCCTTTTCGTGCTCGAGGTAAAATTAATGGGTCGGAAGGTAAGCGGGAAATGTTTTTTTTCCCCAGGAAATGTCAACATATTTGTTTACGAGATAAGAGGGAAAAAATAACAAAAAATATTATGTCCTGAAATGTGAAAAAGAAAAAAAAATTGAGTCGGCTATTTCCAGCCAGTAGGTCGGGAAAGAACAACCAAACATATTTTTGAAGATTACCCTGCTGTCCATAAATATCACCTTGTGCATTAATTTAACATTTTTTTCTATCAATTTCCCTGCTATAAGAAGATAATGTAAGGCCTGTTGATTTTTTCAAGAATGTGAGGGAGGTACGTACGGTGTTGACTGCCGTCAGATCTGTGGTCACTGTCTCAATGGAGAATATTGTCACCACTTGAATGGAACTTGTGGGGAAGGGTGTTCGGTTGGATTTCATGGTGCGACATGTGTGACAGGTATATGTTCTCTTTTTTTCATCTTATTGTAAATTATCACCTTGGAATTGTGATAGCCTCCTCTAAAAAAAATTGTTATGATTCCAGAATGTTCTGCAGGATACTTTGGTATAAACTGCCAGGAAAACTGTAAGGCGTATTGTGGCGGAAACAAAACATGTGACGTCATCACCGGTGTTTGTGACGAGGGCTGTAAAGAGGGGCTACAAGGACCTCTTTGTGGTGAAGGTGTTGCATATTAATTTACATCACAGAAGTAATTGGTATTTTAGAAAAAAGAAAATGATTTTTTTACAATGTATTTAGCTTCCTTTTGGTTCTGCAAATATTATTTTTAGAATTAAAAAAAAACCAAACTTTTATTCAATATGTATCGTATCAAATTTTTAATGTACACTTCAAATTACAGGATCTATTTTTAGAAGAACTGTGTCCAACAGTTGTGAATCCACTATCACTAGTATCATTATAAGCATTGTCATCTCTTTACTCCTTGTTCTGAGTGGAAGTATTCTTAACTTTATCATATGGAAGAGGAGAAATGGTAAGTTCATGTAAATAAATTCTTGAAATCAACGCTTTTTGGCAATAAACACTATGAATCATTGGTCAAAGTTATCAGTAAACCAAATTCAATACCCTCAGTGATACTTACAAAAATTATCTTAAGAATGAATTTAGTTCATGTGATAAATTGTTCCCAAAAGTATATGCATGTACTGCTTTCATATGTAATTAAGTAGGTTATTCACAAATTCAGATTAAAGCTTAACAAATTGTATGAAAACAATGATAACATAAAGCATTATTGTCTAAATACATTTAAAGAAACCAAAAAGGGAAATTTATATTTTGGATCTATTACATTAATTATTTTTAGAACTAAAAACTTTATTTTGTGTTATTTTTTTTAGATGGAACTGAAAAGGTAATGTAATATAAAACAATAATTAGAATATTACAGATGTATTTGGTTTTGCGTATTCATTTATCATTTTCAGACATTTTATCTATAACGGCTGAATGGACTTTATTTCTCTTTAAAGCAAAACTCTTCAAGGACAAAGATGAAGAACATGGATGCTACTGGACGTACAGGTCTGATAGAATGTTCCAAGAGCCATTAAATCTAAATGTCACTTGTATATTAATTCTCGGGCAGATAATTCTTTTCATGCTTATATTTTTTAAAAAAAAGTTAATTCTATGTAGTTAAAAAAACTTTCAAGTATTTTCCCAGAAACGAATCATATGTATGTATTATTCTAGTTTAACTAAAAGATAACGAACAACGATTGAGGTTTTATCACTCAATTGACTTTATTATTCTTTTGATAGGAAAATTAACCTTTGGTGAAGGGTACGTATTTTTTATATCCTTTCAAACGTGATATTATTCTATTATAATTGCAACACACATCTTTATCAAATGTCTTAAAATTCATGTTTTCCGTTCATACACTATTTTAATTCATACCGACGAAATATTGCTGAAATATTGCCGACTCAGCGTAAAATAACAATATCCAATGAATCAATCATATTGTTTTGTTTCATACTAGGGACGGATCCCATTATACAGACCTAAGAGTTCTTTATCCACGAATTTAAATCCCCACAAAAACATCATTTACATGTGATTTTACAGAAAATTTATATTTGCAATCGGTAGCCTTATCAATATTCCTAAAATTCTCTTCATATCTATATGTTTTGTTTCATACTAGTGACGGATCCAGTTATACAGAATTAGGCGTTCTAGATAAACCAAACACATACGAAGAACTTTCTCATTATACAGAGGCTGTTGATAAAATATAAGATGATTTTCTGAAGTAGAGGTGCCCGAAGTTGGAATGACAATGTGACATGGACAGCAAGGACACTTCTATGTTTTTTTAACATACTGCAACCGTGCATGCATATTTAAATTAGTTTATTACGCATTTTTAAATGCTGATCTTATTTTGAGGTTTTAAATTCAAAATAGGACTTGCAGAATTAAAAAAAAACAATAGATCTTAACTTATTATTTGTCATACGGCGGGTGTAAACGGTCGAAAAGTGAAGATCATCTAAAATCCATTTATCATAGATTTTCTGCTCCTTATTTGTATTGTTTGTTTGTACACAAAAGTACTCTGACGTAAACATTTCATTTATTTTAATTTTTTTAATATTCATATCTACGTATATTTTGTTTACTAAACGGTGCAAAGTCAATGTAATTTGTTACAATGTATATCAAAATGAATACTATCAGCAAAAATATGTTTATTATTATTTCCTACTCAAAATGGTCATAACTGGATTCACCAAATGATCGGAAAATATTTAGAATTTTTATGCCTTGGAAGTTTGATGAATATTATTATTAATTCTGTATTGTACTCTTTACCTCAACTTAAGGTGTTTGTAAATGAACATATCATTTCAATGTTAGCAAACTAATTATGCTAATTCAGAGAATTTGTGTCCCTCCACTAGGGAAAAAGTAAACCATGCGCAGTTCTGGGGGAGGGGGGGGGAGGTTTGGATCCCCCTGACTGAATTTGTAGAATTATTAAATGTATACATGTATACTGAAGCAAATAAAATATGCAAATATGGATATGAAGATTTGATTGCTTATTCTTTATCACGTGTATAGAAGATTCTTTTTATATGGAATATTTATCACACTGTAATGATGATTTCATGAGTTTGCACATGCCAGACCTCATAAATTTTTCATTTT